AAGCATTTGCGGCAACGTCTGGAATATTCGTGCGCGAGAAGCACAACTCGTTCATATCTTGTAAAGGGCAGACGTGTGTCAACAAAGCTTAAAGCTGATCTTGTATATCAACCCTCTGCCAATTATTTTCACACTCGATTCACTTTATCATTTTGGAACGTGCTCATAACTCTGCTGTTCATCGAGATTCACGAGCAGCCGAGATTTGACGGATTATTGATGCTTATGTGTATCTAGCCTTCATCAATTTTTCGCTTCTGAGTTATTTTGGCGATGTTTTTTCATTGATATCTGTACTTGTATACTGTATTCATGCTCAGTGAATAATTCATCAGGAAAATATAACGAGTATTTCAATGATATAACAATGATAGTGAATAAAAAAATGGAGTAATACCCAGTGGCGTAACTTCATATTTTGAGACCCCCCGCCAAAATCATTTAGGGCCCCCTCGAGAAAAACCTGTCCAGTCAGAAGCCGCTTCTTTCCATGAACTATTAGTTATATTGAATAACCAACAAGCTCCACAATACGCTTTATTTTCTTTGGGTGAATAATACAACCATTTTCTTGGAATAATTCAGCCAGCATGACTTTTCTGTGAATATTAAAAATTAGAGAAACTCCTCTTCTGGAAAATGTATATCTGGTTGAGACGGGTCATTACGAACAATAAACATTTTTTTTCTGTGACGGGAAAAAAATTTGGCATTTCATCTCTGTTGGCAGGTTATAAAATGTCACTTTTCATAAATTACTTTTTTCCCGGATATATATCACATATATATACTCTGTTAATGGCTTTTGTTGTGCTATAGTTCCGAAAAATGAGTCAATAATACCGTCTCCGAGAAAGAACTGCAAGTCCTTTTATCTTCCATTCGACTTCGCGGTTTCGTATATTACTAAACAACTACTGAATTCGCAATTTTTTAAAATCAAATCACAGAATTGAACTGACAGAAGTGACATCAGATATTTGATTACTTCAAAAGAATGATAAAGATGCCTATAAAACGCAGGTGTCCCTACTGTTAAAAACTTGAAATTTCACGTCGATAATTTTCAGATTTCGAAATAATGTAATATCTTCTCAATATTGATTCGTCCTTCCTTCTGTCACAGAAAAAAATAGTGTATTATAAACGGGAAAAATATTAGATTTTAGCTCACGGTTTTTTGTCTCCCTCCGCTACGCGTCGGGAGACAACACAACCTGGAGCTAAAATCTACTACTTTTTTCCCTTGTATAATAAATAACTATTATCGTGTTGTTCAATTCTCGGCCACTGAAATTGCCTTTATCACAAGGAAATGATTCTTTGATTAATACATCAGTAATGAATCATCTGACTCAGTTCCATCTCCAGGAGTTCTGGCATTTAAGTCAGCTATTGGCTCCTCGTGAATTTCAGATATAATACTTTTTATATTCACACCATCTGTACCTACAGTTTCGAATGCAGTAGTAACAGAAGTCTCGTCATTTGCTGAATAAAAATTTGATATTTTCTCTATATACCTTCATTTCTCTCCTCCAAAAACTTTATTCAATACAAATTGTCACTGAGAAGCTAGTGAATTTTTCTTTTAAGCTCTCTGATAGGAAAATTCTTAAAACGCAGTGGCATTTTGGGGCAAATCATCTGATTTGTACTTACTACACGTTTATTGAAATAATATTCATATTTTTATTTCATAGAAACGAGGAGAGAAAATCCCAAAAAATGTGGAATAATAGTTTTTCTTCCACAATAATTGCAGAGTCCACATCCATTCCTGTTTCAATCATCATACTGCTACAACTTGATGGACATTCATCATAATATTCAAGTGTATTATCCGAAACAGTATAGTAGTATTCGTAAAGAACGTGGTAATCTTGGAAATTTTACACATCATCTTTTAAGTTTTGTTTACTTCTTCTTTTTGAAGCACCACTAGTTGATTAGTATTAATCAAGGTCTCCATTCAAAATAATTGGCTTGTATCGTTGATTTCACACAAACATCACCCTGGACCTACACTGAAAAAAACATGCCTGCACTATTAGCAGAAATGGAAAAATTATTTCTGTGGCATATTCATAATTAAAGAATATTCATGTATCAACCAATTCGGCTGAGTCCTTGCTCTAGTTGGTGGACCCAGGGCCCCCTCCGAGAAACGGGCCCCCCGCAACCGCGGGGTTTGGTGGTATAGTAGTTACGCCACTGGTAATACCCCTCTTGGTGATTGAATAAAACATATTCCTCTCCAATGGCGAGAGTTTCAGCCAATATTGAAGACACACGAGAATCGTTGAACTCTTGCCAATGGGGAGGTTTCCTTCAGATGAATTTCCATTGAATAAGTTCAGTACTCCTTAGTTTTATGCGTCCCGTCCACGCTATAGATAATTGCGATCGATGAAGTCCAAGTCGTTTTTTTTTCAAAATAAAACAATTTCTGATTTTTGGAGCGGAAAACTGTGACGTGCATTCGGAATCTGATCTGAATAAACCTGATGATGAAGAATATAGCAAGTAGATGGCTAACCAATTGAAAAACCAATAGAAAACGATTGAAAAATAGAAGAAGAAGACAACTTGACGTCGTTATTATTTATAGCGATATTCTTTCATACTGAACCGACTGAAACATTTCACTTGAACTGAACTGAATCAGTTGACATGGCATTGTATACACTCGTCTTCAGAGAGCATCTCGCACATGGACGGTGTCAGCTCCCTTCATCAGCGCTGCAATGAGAGCGCTCATCTCATACCGTCCAACCGCGGCATGTTCGCTGAAGACGAGTGTACATAATAAACGTCATTCGAAAGAACGATTCAGTTCAGTTCTAGTGAAATATTGCAGTTAGTTCAGATTGAAAGAATATTACTTATATCAAGAGAAATAACAACATTTAATCTCATGAAAAAAAGAGAAGAACGTATATATCGAATTTTCAAAGACATTACAGTGAGATGAAATCCCCAATATTGGAAACGTCCCCATTATTCGAATAGCTGTAGGCCATATTGTGTCCATTGTTGGTCGTACCGCCCGAACCCTTTTATCCTTGGAAATCGTTTCAGAGGAATGACCAGAATATCGGATGATTGTAAATGACTTCAAGCATTTTCCAATCGCTTGACGTTTCAAATCAAACCGGTCGGTTTTTTTTCGCCGTTGTTCTCATGCAATAGTATACGAATTTGAGCAATTCGAAAATCTAATCGCTGCGGTATATAGTCATGGATGAATTTCAAAAAGTTTTGGTCGTGCTAAGCATAAATCAGCTGTTTTCCTGTTACTCTTATGGATGGATCATCTCCATACGTAGTCAATATATTCATTCTGTTTGTAATTGCAAAATCTTGAAATACCTATCGGGTGGTCACAAAAAAACCGGAAGTTTTTATTTTCCTCGTGGTTTCATCATTTCTCAACCGAATACGAATTTCTTGGCGTCGTTTCATAGCTAAAGGGCTATAGTATACAGTGGAATATTTGAGAATTCCATAATGAACAAAAAAAAATGGCGGATTCTACCAAAGTATTGTCATTTACAAAAACCGCTGGAGAAAAAGAAAATCTGATTTTTTCCAACCTGTTTCGATGTCATCTTAGGTTATTCATTTCTGAAGAGAATGAGTACTCGAACATCGAAATCGAACAAATAGTCCAGTAGATACACTCATTTCTTTGCAATTTGTTATAGAGTGAATGTGCTAATCTCGTATAAACGATTATTATTATTTTGCTTCAGGCTTCATGGAAATTCAATCGAATTCGGATTTCTTAAAGTTATTTCAAAGATAAAGAACTGTAGTACACAATGGAACATTTGAAAATCTAATAATTGAAGGAAACAAAATGGTGGAGAAACCAGAATTTTTGTGATTTTCAGAAATCTCTGGCGAATAAAAAAATGTTCATTCTTCCAATCAGGACCGATACAATTTTAGATCATTGATTTCTGAAAAGAATGAGCACTCAAACATCTGAATCGAACAATTAGTCCAGGAGAAACACGTTCTTCTTGGCAAAGTGTTATGGAGTGAAATCCAAATTCGATCGAATTCTGATAAAGCCAGAAGCAAACTAAACGTGATTCTTATCACGGGATGGCACATTCACTTCATAACAGTTTGCCAAACCTGAAGTGGAGGATTCGAAGCTCAACAACGAAAATGATTCCATTTCACTTGATTTTTTGGGATTTTCTCAAGTAAACTGAATGTACCACCTCCTCGATTAACTTACAGGCAGTATTCAAAATGATTCCAGTTTAGCTCAGAATAGATCAAAAAGAACTATGAAGACCTCCAGATCGATACGGTCATACGTAAGATTATGGTGATATTCTTGGAAATTTAAAGTCCTTTTTTAATTCTTGCTTGGCACCTCAAGAGCTTCATATGATCTACAGAGCACTTATCTGGCCAGTTTTATGATACTGTCTCCACTAATATAAAGGCTCAACACGCTCAGAGTCCATCTTTATAGGAGCCTTGATTGATGATGTCACACTCACTGATTCATTCGAATCATTGAATTACCGTAGAAAAGTAGTCGACCTTTTATTTCTTTGTAGATGCTTCCACGAAAAATGATCTTCAGGAATCTCATCTACCATTACATCATCAGCAATACTAATCAGATGAACTCGACTAGCCAGTCAACAAATCCCTTTGTCATCAACTTTGAGATATTATGTCGAATAACTCTCCATCAAAACTTACTTGGTTTCAGTGTGGCAAAGCTTTGCTAGGGGAGGATTAACCAAGACCTCATAACCTAAGTACGAAAAAAAGGTTGGTCCCCTTCTTATCCTCCATAGATATACATTCGAGGTTGCATAGGGATTTCCTTTTGTCCTTCGAAAGAAAAATAGATTTGGTTAGATACTCACCAGCCAAATATTGGAGGACACGATATCAGGGCCGAACTGACCCAAACCACCAGAATCATGCTGAGGGCCAATCTCTTCGATCTCCGGTTCCTCGAATACCTCAGCGGTTGCGTCACCGCTAAATATCTGTCGACGCTGATAGCGCACAAACTGAGAATGGAAGCCGTGCACAGCAGAACGTCCAGAGAGAGCAATATATCACAGAAAACCCATCCCAGCTCCCAAGTACCTGAAAAAGAATAACACATGATACGAATGAAAAGATACACAATGATATGATAAAACGCAGGGAAGTGTGGGAAGTGGTATGTGAATATACTTTTACGTTACTTGGAAAGTCAAAAGATACGAGTTCGTGCCGCGAGCCAGGAAATATAACAAGATGCCACAAGTTGCATGTGAATACGGTTTATCAAGGTGGAGGGTAGAGGTCTTCCAATGATCATGTATGTACCAACTCCTTCAGGCCCAGCTTCACCAAACGATTCTTAGTCTATATTGATTAAGCTTCGCTCATTAGTCAAGCTATTTACCAAATAGTGATCAGATGATATATTATGTGCATAGAAGGAAATGGTTTTGTGTAGTTTTGTGTCAATGCAATTTTCTTGGCAAATTTATCCGTATACATTACAATTTCGAAAATGTCGGGTAATGGGAACACAGGCAGATGCTTTTTTGGCTTCTTCAGGGATCCTCTATATAAACAAGAGAGCAACCGATTCATTGAAGAAACCTAATCATTTCAAAAAAGGCGTAAAAAACAATACTCAACTTCGATCAACAGTATAGGGTACATGAAACTGGTTAGATACTTATGTACCCCATTGTCATATTATTGTGTTCTCTTGGGATTCGAAATCATCACTGGAAATCTTAATAATAATAATAATGATAATAATAAATCGTCTTCATTTATGTAATTCTATGATACAAAAAAAATATATGAAGATTTGTACAAAGAAGAAGAACATCGTTCACTGTCCAGCAGGAGGCGAGATTAAGCCTAAGGCTACTCTCACATCTAACCTCTCACTGTCCAAAGGTGAGTCTACATTACTGAGAGTAACAAAAAGGAGGATGTGTACATAATATTCAAATCGAAGAGCATAACAATACTCATTGTGAAGAGAGTAGCTCATGTTTAATAAACTTTCGGAAGGAGAATGGACCAAGGCTTTTGATGCAGTCTGGAATTGAATTGAACAATTTAATTGCATTATAATATATGAAACGTCTTTGATACATGACGGTCGAATAATGAGGCATTGTTGTGTATTCTTCGTCCCTAATATGCAAAACATATAGTCAATAATGTTTATCCATATCAAATGTATCTATTTCAATTTAAAATTGCTTAAATGTCACTAGGCGACCAGGCGCATGCGCCACTACCGAAGAACATTTTTTGACTTCCTGAACCGGGTACGAGGTGAGAGTTCTACCGGCATTCAGATACCTACCTGTTTTCTCATTATTAATTTCGCTCGCTACATTCGCCCTGAAATTCAGGATCTTTTCTTACACTGTAAGTTGAATTCGGTTTAGAATACGCGTACGTATATAATTGTGAACGCTTCTCGTTCGTGTATTTTTCTACAAAGTGCGCCTTTGGGACTCTGCAACTGCTCCCAAGTTGCATTCAACACCGGCTGGCACCCAAGGGCCCTGAGAACAGCCAGCCAGAATCTGGGTGACACCATCAAGATCACCTTTCCGAACATTATATGGGGAGTCTGGTAAGTCGTCTAGTGACTATAAATATCGCAGTCGTTCAGTTTGGATTTTTGAGATCACAAATAATTCCCATTGAAATCTGATTAAGATACAATCCATTCATCTCTCCATTTTTTTTGAGCTAAAGAAAGTTCATGGTCCTTCGAGCCGGATTGTTCTTTGAAAAACTATTGTATAATTATTTCCCATATACTATAACAGGAAGAACAACATAATTGAATTATTCTTTCCTTGTACAATTATTGTTAGCCATATTTAAATTCACGCACATGAGTTATCTATAGATAGACAAAAAAGTGATCTGGCTTCATTCCACAGAATAAGTATCACGTGAAGAAAACAACATATGGGTCTAGGTCGTTCAGTTTTTGCGTATTCCGCACTGGGTACCTCTCGCCTCTGACCAATTAGTTTTTTGTTACTATTTTTATTTCGCTCGAGGATTCCCCAATATTCTATTCAAGGCTATCAGCTGATACACAGACTATTTTGAATTTCGACTTTTCGCGCCATGGCTGATAAATTGAGAAGATCACAGGCATTACGTGAGAGCTGCCTCAAGGAAATTAGAATCTTAAGTACATTGGCAACTGCAGCTAAAGATGATAGGACGCAAAAAACTATTTTCAAAATTCGATCGATTGACGCAGATTCTTTACGCACTGAATTTTTAAAACACCACGCAAGCATTCTACAACTTCTGTCCTCCGACGTTAATGCAGATCTTGCTGCCGAAGACGTACATAAAGAAGTATTTTACCAAGATTTCTATCACGCACGAGCTATTTTTTCCGATTTATTCGAGAGTAATCTTGATCAATCAATGGTTGGCCAATCGACTCCTAATAATATGTCGCATGTCAAGCTACCTAAAATCGAATTGACCAAATTTAGTGGCGATTTTCGTACCTTTCCAACCTTCAAGGACATGTTTGATGCTTTAGTTGATTCCAATGATTCGCTGAAAGATATCGAGAAATTTAACTATTTGATATCATCTTTGAGGGGACCTCCCCTTGCGCTTGTACAATGCACGCCTATGGTAGCTGAAAATTATAAAACTGCCTACGATAGTTTGATTACTCGTTATTCCAACAAACGCGCGCAGGCCAATGCCTATTGGTTTGAAATCGAAAATCATGCTAAAATCACTTCGGATAATCCGTCAGCATTACGAAAATTACTGGATACATTTTCCGAGAATTTGGCAGGATTGAAAAACTTGAAATTTCCCACAACGGAATGGGATTTTATTCTCGTTAACATGCTATTAAAACGTGTAGATTCTGAAACTGCCAAATCCTTCGAAAAGGGACACGGGTCCACTGAAATTCCATCCTACGAAACGCTTTTTGATTTTTTAAACCAACATTGTACGGCATTGGAATCAATGAATTATACTACCACCTATAAAAATAAAAAAATTTCAACCACTCATTCACCAACTACTGGCAATAAGTTATATAATAATTCGCCCAATTCTACCTTCAACCGCAACACCGCACATCTACGAGCTAATCGAGAACCTACTAGTTTTTCCAACTCCAATAATTTTTTAGTCCGCACTAATAATAAAACTTATCATAAATGTGTCCTTTGTAATGAGAATCATTTACTATTCAATTGTCCCGAATTTCTCAATAAATCGCAAAATGATAGATTTCAGTATTGCAAAAGCCTACACCTGTGTTTCAATTGTTTAAGTAATGTCCATGACATAAAAACTTGTGGATCTTCTTCAAATTGTTTAAAATTGATAAAAATAACTTCGGATGCGGAACTTTTCTATTTTTATTTTAAGTAATAATTCTGACATTCAAGCTGACATACATAATAAGGACATAAGAATAACTTATCGACGATAACTATTGTTTTCATATAAAACACTATCTTGTTCTAGTCTTGAATATTATACAGAATGATTGATACTAGTAGAAGGCTTTGGCCATTTCCAAATCTCCCCCCAAGGCCAGAGGAGTGTGACCTTGGGGGGAGTGACCTTGGGGGGAGTTACCTTGGGGGGTGGCCTTGGAGGAGTGACATTCGGAGCGACCTTGGGAGTGACCTTGGGAGTGACCTTGGGGGTGACCTTGGGAGTGACCTTGGGAGTGGCCTTGGGAGTGACCTTGGGAGTGGCCTTGGGAGGGATACGGAGGTTTCATCTCGGACAATTGTCGTGGTGACCTTGGGGGGAGTAATTTTCGTGCGCATTTGTACCTCTTCTCAAGGATGTTTGGTGGTGTAGTGGGGTATTCCATGCCCGAGTTTCTATAAATACAGAATCCCCATCTTCAAGTGCATAGTTATTCCGAAAATACTGCTGGCTGAACAATCTTGTCAGATCAGTGGAAGTGCGATAAAGTGTGATATCAGATTTACGTAAGTTCAATTATTTATATATTTTTTATTCCTTCTTTCACTCGACAAGTAAAAATAGAAATGGCTCCTCCTAAAATTGATCTAGTCGCAATCAATAGTCGAATTAATGAGGAAAATGAAATTATTAAACAAATTCTAATATCGTCGCTACCACTGAATAAGAGTTTTATAATCAGGAAAATATCGTTATGTGGGACTCGATTCGGTAGAAGTGGCACCGTTATATTGTACGATGAAGAAACTGAGGTGAGCTTAAAATGTTGGTTACCAAAAAGAGTTGTAGACCTTTTGAAAGAAAGCGATGTTGATGAGATCAATTTTTCTAACGGCGTTTATACTTTAACGTACTTGGGTCAGAGTGAACCTTCATTTGCAGGTGCAAAGACGCGAGCTCTCATCAAGTTTGATGTCAAGGGGGGTGTAATTGACAAATAGTTTCATATTTCCTCAATTAGTTTTTCGATATAGTGTAGTGAAAAAGGTTTAAAAATTATATAATAATTCTTACATTAACATCATCACTTTATCGCTAATCATCATTGATTTCGATACTTTTTTTGGTGAGTGTTATATTGGCTACATACATTGGAATCAAGCATTACATTTTTTCCACCGTGATCCATTACCTGAATGTTTTGTTTATTTACAGAATTGATCACTCTTGTGCAGCACACGTTCCCGAAATGTGTATGAATTATTCTAGTCAGTTTTGGCCTACGGCGGAAGATATCAGATCAGCTGTGAGGAGGTTGAAATGTCGATTCATGGATTTGGAGCGTGATACACTACATGCAGGGAATTATGATATGAGTGTATGCTTCGATCAAGTACAAGTTCAGCGCCTCCTCAAACAAGCTGAAAAATATAAAATTGGATTTCTACTATGTGCCCGCTATGAATACAGCAACATTACTTTGGAGCAATTCCTTGAAGCAATGGTTGAAGAAGACTTGGAACAATTTCTTTATGAAATCTTCGATTTGCTACCAAACAGCCTGATTCGGAAATACCACTTGGGGGTGATTCCAGACACTGAAGATGAAGGAGGACAAAGGGGGTGAATTGGGCATCTATATAGCATTTTCGCGTAATGTGTAATGCCGATAATATTTTGATGTAAAAATAAAACAATAGTTTTTAGTACATTTGTATTTTATTGATTACAATGAATAACAATATCGAGTAGATTGAGTAATGATAAATTTCATGAAGAGAGATCTAATAACTAATGTGATGACGGTGGCGGTGTCAGTGAGGAGTGGATCCGCATCTATCGTATTCAAGGAGCACCCATCTGTATGGAACCATCTAATGCGCTATATGTCAGATATGCGTCATGAAGAATAAGTGCGTAAACCTTTGTGTTTGGTGGAAACTTCGTTTCGCGGGTTTCAAACTCCAATTTGATGTCGACAGTAGAAGTTTTCATCGCATCGGGTTGGTGGTAGCAGTCGATGATGAATAACGGATTTTTTCGGAACTCCTCAATACTCATCATTGGTTCACCCATATCTTTGCCATAGTAACTACGTTGGAAATTTTCGTATGCATAGTAAGCCACAGCATCTAACTTTCTGTCAAAATCCAAATTCCAGCGCTCATATGGGTAAACTTCTGAATTCAAGTAAAGGCGAATATTATTCACTCCTGCGTGAATGAATTTCGTAGCGTCCTTGGATCTATCATCTGTATTATCGGAGCTTTGAAAACCGATAATGATGTATCGCGGGCGCTCGAGGCTACTAGTTGTTTTGATAGCCCAAATATCTGAAGCTGTTTCACGAATGGCCGGTAACTCATACAAATCCCACATCCTGTATGCTAACTTGATTTTTGCTGTAGAACTTTTATTCAATCGATTCAACAACTTCAATTTCTGCCTATCGGACGGCATCACATGCCTTATCTTCCATTCGATTTTGTTGATCGTCACATTCGCATCAACTTCCCCCATATAGGAGTTTTTGAATGAGCGTGCTATGATGAGTATAAGCTCCTGCTTTATATTCAGAATTCCTTTATTATAGTCCTCTGCAAACCCCATTAAAAATTTAAGCGGTAGTTTTCCGCTGAATGTATGACTGGGTGTATCTAGAATCACCTGTTTATTTTCATCGAGACCCCATCCAACCGTGTCTAAAAATTTGGTGCTTGTCTCACCATAAGATATCATACTTTTCATTGTAGTGGTAATGCCCGGTTTTCGAATCAAACACACCTGTTCGCCACCCATTTCATAACGGATTTCATCGAACAGAAATGCGAGCGCATTATTGGACAGATGGCAGGTTTTTGCTAAATCGTTCGGGATGAATTTTCCCTCGATATAAATGTAGCTTTCAGCAATATCCAGTATCAAATCTTGAAAATTGACAGCAATCCTAATTTCATCGGAATTCTTGAATGATGGAGAACCATATGGTTTGTATGTATGCTCATGTAGGCTAATTAGTGAATGATCAAAAATTGGTTCATCAAACACTTCCAATTGTAAACTAGTAGAACTTGTGGCAACCATCGTTCACTTATTTCTGATCCTTCGTCGTTTTACTCTCAACCCAATAGACTTCAAAAAATTTAGGTCGCTCGCAGAAAGCTTATGATGTCTTCCTCGACCGGTGATTTGCCCTTGACTGAATCCTTTCCCACGTTTACACTTCTTCTTATTGGTAATGTGCAGAATAGTGGGGTGAGTAGCGAGCGATACACGTTTTGATTGGTTTCCAAAGCAGAAGCCCATCTTCCAAATCGACGTAGAAAATTTAATTTAGCTGTTTCAATTCCAACTTCACTATAATCTTCTCTCCTCGGAAGTCGACTAAATGATCGTTATCATCCAAAATTCTCAGTGTGATGTTGTCGATAGACTGACGCCCTGTCGGACTGATTGGTAGATATATTATATTTTTCGGCTCCTTTGAAAGTTTGTATCCTGGTTCCACGTCGACGTCGAACTCGTAAAGCGTGTGAACCTCCTCACCATTGAGGTATGCTCCAGTGGTGATATTACAATCAACCCGTATCAATCGTACCTTTATGATGTTCACAGGTAAAGTGGATTCATGCAAAATATTGGGCCGGTAAAATCCCGATTTAAAACCCAACACTTTGGCTATAGAAGTAGCAATATCTAGACTTATCAAGAATTCGGACTTGAGTTCACATTTGAGCGTATTATTGTTGGCACGAAGAGAGAACACATCATCAATATTTCGCCCATTTAGCGGAACCCCTCTTTCTATAGCCTTTTGTATTGCTCTATTGATTTCTTCTATTTCATAGGCGCCTGGTGGTATTTCAACAAGAAAGCTTTCCCCTTCATACCAAACAACTAATTTGTTATTTGTCTCATCTATATTGAGTATAGAGTTGTATGAATAGAATCCGTGTAACCCCAAACCGTAAGTATTCCTCACATCGAGCTCAATTGGTGGAAAAAAGTCTGCACTCAGGATACTACGATCTCCAGAAATGGTAAATGTTTGCGACATAACTTCTCATGAATGGAGAAAACAAACAAAACAGCGAAAACCAAAAACAAACGTCAATATATACAGTAGCAGCGTTAAGAGCATCAACCTTATTGCTGCCTGCAACAATGAAGAATGCCCGGGTTTTCGGTAGGCGAAGAATTAATATCAAATTTATTATTAGTTGCCACATTTACATCTTTCACTTGACAAAAACAACATAATATTTTTCTTGGCGCTGGTCCATCATTCACATCGATGTTGGCATGTTGGCCACCCTCCTCCTGCTCTCCACCATAATGTTCTTCACAAAATCGGTATTTGGCTATATCCGGATCGTTTTGTAATTGTTCCGGTAACTTATCCCACACTATAGCTATCTCATGTGATGCCAACCCGATGAGTACTTCTTTCGGCATATCAGCCAACTGTTTCTCACTCATTTCCAGTAAGGAGCGTAATCTTGAAAAAGCCAATAATGCATGTCCCATCCGCTTGATACTCTGCCTATCCATGTTTTGCAACTTTTATTTCACTGATGCCACTGTTAGCTGAGAGAAATTTCAAGCACAGGTGACCACACCAGACTGTGTTGAAATCCTGCTGGCGCTCATAGTTATACTTGATTTTGATGGCTTTAACCGACTTCGATCCTTTCCTTAAATATTCTAACAACTCCTCAGGAGGCGGCAAATCCCCATAGCTATCGTAATATTCAACTATCCCATTTCTCTTCTTATATGCAACCCAATGTGTACCATCACCGCGAATACTATCGAGATTCAGTATTGCTGATTCTATGCGATGTGGGCCAGAGTTGGGTAGATTATCTCTCATGAAAATACCTCGAAAGTGCGGCACCGCCATTTTATCTATATAATGCAATAGATCAATGTCTGTAAGAGCTCTCCGAGGTAACTTGGCTAGTTTTTTGAATGCTGGGGCTTGAGATAAATACCCATCCCTTTCCGATATGGTTTCAAATAGACTCCTCTGCCGACTTTTCCGAGAGCGATCGCCTCCATATGCTTATTGTGACGGTTTGCCTCAGCCAGCTGCTCCTTACTCTCTTTAGCTGAATGAATAGCTCGAGCTATACCGGCACTACCCGCAGCCAGACTCCCCAATGCTGATAAACCGGCAAAAATGGGTATGAGCGGAAGAATTCCGCCAACTTTTGGGATAGGTATGATTCGGGGTGTTTTGATATTTTTTTTCCCGCCAGCCATCTTTACAAATTTTCGAGCAGCGTCGATCGCCATTAGTGATGTTTTAGTCAAGTTTTTGGTGAGTTTTCTCTTATTCCCCATTTGACGTAGTGCTCGGCGAACTTTTTGAACTACACCCGATCCGAAAGCAATTTTTCTACACTTTTTCTTCCCTTTATTCTTCCTCTTCCTTCTCGATACTCGTCGGTTCTTCACTCCATTATTACACCCCATACCAAAGCGCCTCTTTCCCTTCATTATATTGGTAACTAACCAGGATGCACTCTTCTCTCCTAGATTAGCGTCTTTTGATTTTACTCTCTCCCACGCGGCTTCCTCTAATTTTTTATCTGCTGAATGCCTAGCAGATAAATCGGTTGTATTCTTAAGATACGCAATATCGTGTTCCTTGCAGGCTCTATCCAATTGATTTATTCCAGGATCACCGCGAGCTAACCTTTTTTGTAACTTCGTTCCAGGTCCACAATATTGATAACCACCAGGAATATGCAATTCAAACGGTAATTTATTGATCAGTGTGTTAACAATGCCTCTACCCCTTTTCTTTCCTTTCTTCGTTTTCGATGTGCTACGTTTCACTTTCATAATATAAATGAGCTTCACAACGCTAGCGCTTCTTTATATATCTTTCAACCACCGCACAATGCGGATTGTTCAGCAAAAGGAAACGTTCAGTGTAGCCAATTTTGATGAAAAAATAGGGTTAGGTATTGATACCAATCGTCGACATGGAGCCCTTTTCCCAAATACTATTCGCGGTCTGATAATTGGCCCATCGAATTGCGGGAAAACCAATGTTATGATTTCACTTCTGACCAATGAAAATGGTTTACGTTTTGCCAATATTTATATCTATTCGAAATCACTATACCAACCAAAGTATGAGTACTTGCGAAAAGTGATGGAACCGATTAAAGGGTTAGGATTTTACACGTATAATAATAATGTGGACATAGTTGAACCGGCAGATGCGAAACCTGACAGCATTTTCATATTCGATGATGTTATATGTGAAAAACAGGATGTTATCAGATCTTATTTCTCAATGGGGCGTCACAAAAATGTGGATTGTTTCTTCCTGGCACAGAGTTATTCCAAAGTTGGGAAGCAATTATTGCGTGACAATTCGAACTTCATAGTGATGTTCAAACAAGATGACATGAATTTACATCATATTTTTTCCGATCACGTATCGCCAGATGTGACTTTCAAACAATTCCAAGATATGTGCGCGCAGAGTTGGACGGATAGATACGGGTTTCTCGTTATCGATAAGGACAGTGAAATACATGAGGGGCGTTATAGGAAAGGATTCGATAGCTTTATATATCTCTAGTATGTTGGTGCAGCATGATTCATTCAATCTTCAGATACCACAATGGCCGCATCTAGTGAACAGAAAAGCACGATGACTTCTGAGATAAATCTCAAACAGCAACTTGTTGAAGCGACTGCTGCAGTGAGAAAAAAGTTCAAGAGTCTCAAGAACGAACGTATTGATAACCAAACGGCATTGGAGAGAGTGTATGAACCATTGACGAAGCCATTGAATGCTATTTCAGCAGCCGCAGCGAGAAATCAATCTCAAATCACTACTACCACATCCACAACAGGGAAAAACAAGAAACCTTCAACATCAATAATAGCACATCCTACATATCATTCCACACCGGTATCAGAAAATGGGGGAATCGGCACCACTACTACTACCACCAAGATTCCTAGAAAACTCATGACGCGGGAGAGTTTCAGTGGAAATGATTCTTTGACATCGCATAGCCAGCCCAAATTTATAACGGGACTGGAAACACCGCCATCATCATCTTCTTCTCATATTTCCAAGAGTGATGCTGCTACAGCAGTAGACGAAACAATCACAAGCGAGCTACAGGTGCAATTGAAAAAACATATAGATAATTTGGTATCCCATGATCCTAATTATGACACCACATATGGTGTTTATATTGATGAACAAACGGGAAAATTGAAGATGGGCAACATGGACATTCATTTTCCTGCAGGTCAAATTGAATTATGGCGCGGAAATAAGCGAACCAAGGTTTTTCCGGCCACCATTGAGCTATATAAGTTGATTTTTATGAAACATGTGCCAAGATCCATTAACGATCAAGATAAACGTTTATACGCAGCCCTATTGGAGAATACAAGGGCACCATATAGGAACTATGATATTAGGGAAGGGTTAAATGATAGCACACAATCCAAGAAGAAATATCAGCAGGTGATCAAACCACTGATAGGCACACCATATAAAATGAGGAATCAACAATTGCACCATGGTGAAAAAGGAGGAGGAAGTATATTGCAACCAACATTACCCTCTGATAAACTCGCAGGCAAACAGCGAAAAGAGTATGTTTATTGGAATGATATCAAAGAATTGGTGGACCGCCTGCGATTATTGTGGAGTTCTAAAATGGCTGGTCACACCGGTCACGATAATGAGATAATATCGATAATAGAAGAATTGCGTGAAGAAGGTATCGTGTATTAATTGGCGAGTGATTAACCTACATCCCACTTAATTCTGAATGTGCCTATATATAATAACGATACAATACTTGGCCCCTTATTAGTGCATAAAAGGAACTTGGAGCGATCACACCAATTCAGAAAATTCGAGCAGTGGAAAAATAAATAT